AGAGAGAGGACAAAAAGAAATAACAAAAAAACAAAAAGGGCAACGGGGCCGGCGGAGACAGGACGAACACCAAGGGCAAGGAGGTGAAGAAAAAATAGGGGGGAAGAAGACGATGGAGGAAACCCAGAAAGAGAAAAAGGAAAAAAAAGGGGAGGAAGAGTGGGAAAACAAAAAGATGCTTGTTGACGTTGTCCTCTGTACACTCTCTATATGTAATATATATATACACACACACTGATGTGTCTATGCATGTATGGGGTGCATGTAGGGAACCGAATGCGACCCCCAAGACCCATGTGCACACAAATGCGGAGCACACACACATAAGCTTCCTGCATCTGTGTGGCAGCCGGCCCCCGTCGACTCTCGATTCTCGTCGTCACGATACGGCCCCTGTAGCAAGCAACCCAATGGAGGAAGCAGTCGGATTGCAGCAGACCGGCAAAGTGAATTTGCCTTAGAAATCATCGTACAGCAGGCGGCTCACGTCGGAGGCAAGGGCGAATGTAGCATCATCCACCATCTCACACACCCCATTGCTGCGGAGGAGAAACTTCCGGCTTTCGTCAAACCAGCGAAGTTCGTACTGATCGCCCACAAGCACCTGAACCCCTCCATTGGAGAGCAAAAACGCACTCAAGGAGTGCTCTGCGTCAAAGCGAAACCAACGGACATACACAAACGGTTCCCCTTGACACCGGATTGCCGTTTGCGACGTCCGGTAGATGGAGATGGTGCCAGGAGCGCGGTGTTGCTTCATCATATTACAGTCATACGCGACAACGCGTTGCAGGAGATTGTATGCGCCTTCAGCCAAACACTTTGCACTTCCAAGTGAAATCACGCGGGCCGCATCACTGTTTTCCAAGGTGTCAACGTAATCCACAATGAGCATCTGCCGCTCCAGCACCGAAATTACGGCGGAATGCATTGAAAAATCGTGATTAAGGAAAATCGCTCCTGTACGCCCTGGCTGAATGTGATACGTAAAAGCAACCGGCTCTGCATCTTCCTCTGTTGGAAACAAATGAAAATGTCGAATCCAATCCCCGTTGAGCAAAACCTCGCGCTCCTCCGGTGTAGGTTGAACAGGCTTGTAGCTGACCGATAAACGTTCCATTGGCTTCCACTTCCCCTCTGGCATTGTGTTAATGGGCCTACTAAACAGCGACGACGGCGTCGTCGTCTCCTGCGCCACCGCCTCCTCCTTCACCGCGCCCCCTGCGTCCACCATCACCGCCTCCCTCTTTGGGACAGACCTTGCTGCTGCTGCCGCCGCTTTGGAAGTTTCCGTCGCTGCAGCAGCTGTAGTGGTGGCGGTGACGGTGACGGTGGCTCCCCGGGCAACATCGTCAGTTCGTGCCGCCTTCTTCTTCGAGGCGGCGGGGAGGTTGGCGCTTGCCCGCCCTTGATGAACCACAGCTCTCCTTCGGTTTTGACCTGCCGGGGCACAGGCGCCTTTTCGATGGTGCTCACGCAGCTCCAGACCATTTTCATAGACGCCGCCGCACTCGGAACAGGTGCACCGCTTGTTGTACGCCTGACGACAGTCCACGCACAAATCTCTGCCACATGCGCAGTGAAAAAAATAAATGCTTTTCCCAGCGGGCAGAAACTCATAGTGACACATGTCACATACAAAACCGTACTGATACTTCTTGCTTACGCGAGTGGTCTCCTTGAAGCGGTGAGGATGCGCAGCTGATTTTCTTTGCTCCTCCGCCAACCACATCATGTCAAGCCGGTCTTGCCTTTCCTCCGTCGTCACGCGGAAGACGGAGAAAAGATATTCTAGCTGTAAAGAAATCATATTCTCTGCAAGACTCCGTACAGCCGCCTCCATGGCGACAACTTTCCTCTCCGCCACCCATCCCGACGCAAGGTCCTTCCTGGCAAGGCGAGCAGGTATGGCGTCTGTTGGCTGACGCGCTCCATCGTCGACGACGGAGCGCGTTGCTCCGCGCTTGCGCTTGGGTGGCTCACG